GGGAACAGAACACTGAATTTGGAGATCTGGGTTTTAGTTTTGGTTCTGGCTGGGACTTGCTATCTTTGCACAAAGTCACTTGACCACATTGTGTTTCAAGTTTCTCATCTACGATTAAGGGGATAATACCATTTGGTTTGTAAGAGAGTTGCTCTAATAGTTATTAAAAGTTTACTATATGCCAGCCTCTGTGCAAGGCACTTGGTATACACAATCTCGTTTATTCTTCAAATGATCATGTTGATGCTCGTTATGCTATTATTTTTCCCATAGTACTAATAAGAAAACTAAAGCTAGAGGGGTTAAGTAGCATTCCCAAGGTACGTAAGTTAAGTCATGGAGCTCAGGGTTGGATCTAGGCTAACTCCAGAGCCTCCATGCCACAACCCACTGTCCCCTCCCCAAAATAAAAAATAATTAAGAATGCCCTTTGAAAACCATTAAGCTATCTAATTTTAAGGTGTGCTTCCTTTCTTCTACTTCTGCCTACTTAAACTTGTAAGACATGAACAGGTCTACTCTTTTGCTTGCTTCTTTCTATTGTTCAATAATCACCTCAAATGTCCAAGTGAGAATCTGGAGGAAAAAACTCATGCCTTCCTGGCTGGCTTTCACAATAGACAGAGAGGTTCTGGGTAGGCTCCATAAGGCCATGCTTCACATGTCTCAAACTTTCTAAGTATCTTCTCTCTTCCCTTTAATCTTTTGGTGGTATCTTCCTAAGAAGTCCAGAGGCCCACTTTCAGCCACATTTGAATGGTGAAAGCTTTTCTTCTGAGGAGAAAAATGAGTGAGAATCTAGTCCCTTGAAGATCCAGTTAACTCACCTTATAAAGAAGGAAAGGACTCCATGAAATACATGAATAATTTCTCTCCAGAACCTTTGCCAGACTTGGCATAGAGTGGTCCATTAGAAATACATAATTGAATATTCTTAACAACTCAATTCTTCAACCTCACTTTGATCAATAGTTCATTACCTAAGTTAGATCTGCCAAAAGGGGCAAACTCGTCAGCCCATTTGTCCCATATTTGCATGAATATTATGCTGTGAATGTTACGCTCCTTTGAACTTCAAAAGAGTTTCCTGGCCTCATTGACTACAACTTTAACAACAGAGCATAATGGAGTTACAGAAAGACCTTTTCCCAGCTAAAGACCTCAAACCTTGCTGATGCTGGATGGTAACAAACTTTTATATAAGCAACAAATGGCTCATTCATCCATTGCAATGCACTATCAGTATTTTTTTGGCTTCCTGAGCCTGTCTTCCCTCTTGTGAGAGCAACTGTAACTATGCCTAATTAGCTACCAACAAGTGGCAGCACCCAACTTCACCATTCCTTGGGAAAAAAAAAAAAAAAGCTTTCCACACCTCTTGAGATTTCTACACCAATTGAGTGAGCATCTTTGAGCATAACAGCATCAATCCTCATTCCACTTGATGTCCCAAACAGGAGAACAAACAGGCTACAGAGCACCCTCCTAGAGTTTTATATTCTAACCAGTCTCTGAAAGATCAAAAACTTTGGCTTCCTTTGGTAAAATGGCATTAGGCAGCAAGGAGAGATGTGAAGATTTATTATGCCTACACTTACATGTTTTCCAAGTGGTTTCTTTTTTAATTAAAAAAAATCCTCTCTTTTTTCTTCATCTACTCCCATACCAACCCATCTTTAGAATTGGACAGTAAAAATATAGGAAATGATATGTCTTTATACTTTAAAGAGCTTTTACCCTATTGTAAAAGTAATACTTGCTAATTGGGGAAACTTTGGAATAGACAGACACACAAAGGTGAACAAAAATGATATTTATAAACCTACCACTCAGAGATTTTAAAAAAATTAGTTCCCTATTGCATACCATACATGAATATAAATTTCAGATGGAATAGAGAACCTTGGGCAAAAGCCCAAATTATGGCAGCAATAAAAGAAAACATAGAATATAAGGTGGGAGAGATCTTCCTAGGAATAAGAAATCCAGAAGCCATATAGGAAATGAATGACAGATCTGACTACATAAAATTTTAAAACTTCTATATGGGAAAATAAAATTTAAACAAGGTTTAAAACAAATGGCAGACAGAAAATCATATTTGAAACACAAGAGGTTAACAAATAAGCTTTTACAAACCAATAAGACTAACAATACAACTGAAAAATAGGCAATTCACTGAAGAAATATTATTAAACTAAAAAGTAATTGAAAAGATATTCCAGTAATAGGAAAATATCAAAGCAAAACTAAAATATGATTTTCCCAATTAAACTGGCCCCAAAATACAAAAATTAATAATGCTCTTGATGAAGGAATTAGAAATGGACACTCATACACAGATAGTGGGAGTAAAAGTTAATACAACTTATTTCAAGGTCAATCTGGCAGTTCTTAACCAAGATTAAAACTGAACATAGACTTTGACTAACAATTCCTCAAAAAGACTTGCATAAATGCTTAAAGGTGTTCATTAATGCCTTACTTGTAATAGCAAAAATTGTAAGTAACCTCAATATCTACAAATAGAGATTAGTTAAATAAATCATCGCACACATGCGATTTGATTAGAAAGAATACGGCACTATTATATTGCAATGTTCTGATATAGAAGGATGTCCTAGACACATTGTTGAATAAAAGCAAATTACAGAAAAATGTATATAATAACCCATTTTTGTAAAAGAAAAAAACCCTACAGACAAGTATGTATGATTTTATAACACAAAAAAAAGAGTTTGAAAGAACACATAGCAAACCATTAATGATGGTTATCCCTGGAGAGTGGAATGGAGTTAAGTGGCACATGTTCTTTATTGAAACTCAGATGTTTTCATATTATCTTGTATAATGAGTATATATATTAATTTTGTAATTTAAGAAAGTTACAAATATGTTAACATAAGCATTTTCCAGGGCCACCAAATTTAAATAAAGTGTTTTTAATGGTAGCATGATATCATATAACTTAGATCATTTTTGTAACCATTTCCCTATGGATTGACATTTCTACTGCTTCTAACTGCTCACTGTTAGAGTTGCAATATCAATCTCGGTGCATGCATGTTGTGTGTGTGTGTGCATGTGCACGTGTGCCTGTGTATCAAGGCAATATACATAGGACATATGCTTTGAGGTTTCTCCTTTAGCAAAAACGACTTTGCACATCTTCAAACATCTTAGAGATAGTTAGGTTGAGTGTGGCCATATAGGATGATGCTCAGTGGCTCATTCAGAAAATGACCATCACCTTAGCCTCATCATCTAACAATACACCTGAAACACTAGACCACAACTTGTGCCCTAGGCCGTCCATTACATAATTACTTTGGGATCAGCTAAGTATCAAAAGGGTTTGGGACAAATTCATAGGGATAAGGAAATGTTACAAAGTAGTAGTTTTTAGTCTGTAAATGTTTTTTTAAGTTGCAGCTGTCTTAGGTTTATCAATTAATCTCTAAGTTTCATGGACAATATCCTTCAATTCTTCATAAATATGGAAGACTTCCCAGAAAAGAAGGTCTTCTGAGAGTTACAAGCTTCCCCTGTGAGGCCGTCAGTAGCAGGCCATAAGGGAAGTTTTTTTCTAAGAGAGGAGGACTTTTAAGCCCAGCTGGTTGGGAGCTGAGCTGAGAATGGATGAACGTTTCTGTCACATCCACTTAAATCAAGGAGGGCTTCTGGGAGAGGAGGGTTCTGAGATGAACTATATACAAATGGAAAAAAGGAGGCAGTTAAGGGATACAAGAGGAGAAGTTGATCCAAGCTTCCTCACTGAGACTGTGCCCTGCTAAACTTCCTTTTGTATCCCAATCATACTAGATATCACCATAGATTGTTCATGCTTAAAAGGTTAATCGAAAGCACTATTTCTCACAGGAAAAAGACTAAGTTTACTATGAAATTCATAGTGGGACAGAAACACACTTAAGGATGGAATCGGCTTGGCACTGTTCTCCTTGTCAACAAGACTTCTGCCTGATCTATTTAACTTATGCTGATAAAGGAGATAAATGTTTAAGTGATGGGCTTCGGATGCTGCTTCAGCTCCTACCAAGAATATTTTCAAAGCTCCTTCTCATGAATAAGTTCAGTGGAGCAGAGAATGCCCCTTTTGGACCAATTCCACTTTGTGCTTCTTTTGATGCAGCCAAAAAGAGGAACTAGAGCTAAGGCTTTTCCTTCAAATTTAGAGCAAGTGTTCATCTCAGAGGTGGCTGCACGTGGCTCAAAAAAGGTAAGGTCTACACTGTGCAAAGACAGCAGAAAGCTCTTAACAAGAACGGAGATGTCGATGGTTACTCATAAATCTCCCAAATGTGGCAGCAAGGAGGGTTAATTATCTCCTCCCCACCCCCCTTCCTGCCACTCTCTGCTTTCTCCAATGTGTTAGCCCATCACACGGATCGCTGACTTTCTAGAAATATTCCCTGGCTTTGCGGGACGTTCTTTTCAATAAATGGCATCCAATTTGCTAACGGTCCCTGGAATCTCAATTTCCTCAAAGGATTTTTAATCTGAATCCAGTTCATGTAAAGGTTTCCTCCTCGTTTTTCAACATAAGGGAATAGGCAGAGCCTGCTTTACTTTTTCTTCGTTTTTTCTTTTCTGTGTCATTCTTTTCATAAACTGAAAACCTTTGCTGAAGAGTCTGAAATTTGGGAAAAAATCCAGCTCATCTGTCAGATATTTCCAGAGTTACGTAAAATGGAATGAGATTTGTATAGTTTAGAACAGGAAAGGGAAAATAGGCTAACGTGTCATGTGTTCTATGAGATGAAAACTATATGATAATCAGAGAAACAGTCCCAAATTTAGTTGGCCCAATTCAAAGCTCTCATTCTTTTATCAACTCATGCATAAACCAGTAACATTCACTTTCTTCTCTTAGAATAATGGCATGGCCACATTTGGGCTAAATCACAATCCCTACAGATTATAACCACATTTTCAAATAAATTATAAGAAAGTATATTATTTTTTAAAGACAAGACACTTACGTTTTACTTGCTCTGTTTTGCTTCCTTCTAGGAAAAGAAAGAACAACAAGGAAAAGACGTATTTCATGCCTCCCATTTTCCACTTTTTTCTCATGTGGGCCACTGCAAAAGGCAACTCAGAACCTTCAAGGCCCGGTGGACTCAAGCTGTTGGGAAGAAAGCAGAAAAAAGATGTAACACAGAATCCTCTAAAACTAATAGAGATCATTCAAACTTACGCTTCTAACTTGCTAGAAAAAAATGCGGGAGAATTTACATAAGCGCAAGTATTGTTTGCCGGCGGCGGCGTAAGATAAAGGACTTGCCTCTCCAGTCTTGGGAAGACTGTGGGAGAAAATTCAAGCTGAATGAGCATGCATTCCTATCCAATGCTGATGCTAAATCCTTACAGGCAAGTCATAGGAAAATAAAAATAAATTTTGAAATCCTCCTTTCTAAGGGAATTAAAGTTGATTTCTCAAGAGATTTTCTTTGGGAGAAAAGGGAAACGGGAATTTGCAAAATGGCTATTTTGGCAAACAAGGTAAAAGTAATAGGCACAAGACCCAGCAATTTCTGAAATGAATGTTAACTAATCTTAGCTTCGAAACTACTGTTATCATTAATCCTTCAGGGATGAAGTACAAATTGATCAAAATTTCTCCTGTGTACTCTATAACATCTATAAGGATCTTCAGTTTGGCTACTTATGTTGGAAAAGATAGATGTCATTAGCAAATGGATGCAATTAAACACCCAAAAGGTTTTATTGTTTAGAATGGTTCAAACATATTCCTCCCCCACAAAGTCCATTGTGAAATGGAAATTTTAAATGGGCCATTTTTAATGGAAATTAGGCAAATTTAAATAGGTAATTTGTTCACATAGTATTCACCAAGCAGAAGATTATTAAAGCAACTACAATTCTTTAAAATATGAGATTGGCATTTCCGGTCTAAGGGGTAGAAATCTTAAGCCTTTAAAGCCTTGGAACACAGAAAGTTTGCTGTAGCTCATATTCAGTCACAGGTCATTTCCACAGACTTGAGAATTTGCAACATTCTTCCAATGGGTGATTTGAAAATATTTAAATGTTCTAGAAACACCAAATTCAATCTGGGGTTAACCCTGAATGGGAACTGAAGTCACTGATCTTTTCTGAGAATCCAACCTAAATACTAAGCATAAAGAACTTGAGGGAGTGCAAGATGATCATTTTGGAGAATTCAATGTCTCTGAGCTCTGAAGTAGATGCCACAGCTCCTATTTAAATACTGTGAATTTTCTCATATCATTCAAAATCCAGTTTCAAATTATGAATATGTAACTGAGAAGAACTGATCACACAGAATAATTTGTGCTATGAAGCAAGATTTGCAGCACCATTCGCCTTCTTTCTCTATTTCCTCCCTGCTCTCTAAAAAAGGATCAAATTCTCCTAGAATATGTTCCTAGCCTTCCAGAGGCCTGGGTTCTGATGCATTGGTCCCCTCTGTGAGCTTATGGCCCACTTTCAATTACTCAGAACGTTGCTGTCCCCTGAGAGCTACCAGGTTCCCTTGAAGCAAATCATTTTCATTAACAGTTTAACACATCTACCCACCTCAGTGAGGTTCTTCCTGAGCCTGCTTTAATAAGCTTATCGCTCGCCCAAGCCTCCAAAAGAGAAAGATTTTTAGCCACTGAAATCTAATTTATCAAAATCATATATGGGTCTCAGGGGGTGTTTCTGAGACCATGGTTTTCGGGTCTCCCCATGCAAGAACCAACAGGGCTGTTTTTCTTGTACAATGGTTGGGCGATTAGGTGAACAGTAGCATTGCTTCATAACTCAAGCTGGCAAGAAAATGGCTCTTAGAAATTTTTTGCTTTTCTTGGGTCCCAACTAATGTTATAAGCAAATAGAAAAGTTGGTGGCTAGAGAGCAATTAATCTCTTTTGGCGTTGCTGTCATCTGTGTGGCCTCCCAGGCTGTGATGGAGAACATCAGAAAATGAATCGCTTTATAAATATTCACTTTTGATTTACAAGATCATGAAGTCCTGCCTTTGTATTTCGTGCAGAAATATGAACTGAGAAGAGTTCCCTCCCCAGGTCTCCCCACCATTCAATTTCTCTTTATTTCTTTAACTTTTTCTTTAGGAGGAGAGGGGTGGTTCACAACATTTGTTGGGACTGCAGCAGTAAACACAGCAAGCATTGCTCAGCAAACATGCCGACTTTTATTCTTGCAAAGAGCCAAACTGTCCTTAATTTTTCAAATTATACTTTGACCCAGTTAACTGGAGTTATTTCTGCATTAACTCTCTGTCTGCTTCACACAGGCTGTTGTGCCATTGAAGTTGCACTGGCTTTTTTACAGGTTACTTAGAAATGTAGCTATTGACATGTTTTGGGGGATCCAGGACCCAACAAGAAAGCAAGAAACAAAACCCTGCAACTAATGCTGGGGTTGGGGGTGGGGTAGGAGGGTAAGTGGGCTTTACAAGAGAACAAGAAATATATCAGACACCAAAAGAAAGATATTTATCAAGGTGCCTCTATAAAACAAGCTAAGGGGCCAACTGCTCCTTGCCCAATTGTGACTGCAAGGCCATCTGGGCCATCAAGTGTCAGGAGCCCACTCTCAGAACAGGTCTCTTGGGTTGAACAGAACCAGAGACATCCCTAAGAGAAGGTTAAGGGATGAGTACATATCTGCCAGTTCTTCACGCCCCACAGTGTCTCTTTAATCCTCCTGAGAGGCTTGACTGACCTTGTAATCGCACATTCACTGTCATCTGTGGGACAGCCCCTAGGGTAGCAATTTTCTTTCTGACAAACAATAAGAAAGACACTGGAATCTCAGGCCCTTATCTATCAGCTGAAAGTCTCTCCCCACTCTACCACCCAGCAAGAAAAGCTCAGTTAACTCGTGGTGGGTTGCCACTGAAAAATTTTAGCCCAGGGTATCTCTTGTCAGAGGCAATGTCGTCATTGCTGCTTATGACTGACCAACAATGCCTTGCATTTGGCTTGCAAAACACCTTCCTATCTATCATTTCATTTTATTCCACACAACTCCACCTCCAAAATGGGCACCCGGGGGCCCAGAGAACTCAAATGACTTGAGTTAGTGGCAGGGCCAGGAGGGACTGGAAGGCAGGCCTTCCAGGCCCTATACCCCGGCAATACCACGTTGTTTCCTGAGCCTAGTGTTTCAAACTCTGACCCCAGTGGTCTGGGACAGAAAATGAGGCGGAAGTTCAGAGGATAGGAAGCCTCCCGCCCGTCCACCCTGTTTCATTAATTTTAGCACGTTTTAATCAGCCACTGGTCTAGGGCACTTCAGCAAATGAGAAAACAGCTTCGGAGACACAAGAAGTAATTAAGGGGACTGCAGAGCCCCTTAGGTAGCTCAGCGTGGAGTACCCGAGTGACCTCTCAAAGCTCCAGAGCATGGAGAAATGCAGGCCGAGCGGGGAGTGACGAGTTGTGAGTTCGAATCCAGAGCCCCCAACCTGCCTCAGACAGGCGCCTTGGACCCCACCTCCATCCCCACCGCAGGCAGCTGGACCACAGGACGGGTTGGGGTGGCAGGTTGAGGAGTTCGGGGCGCCCTGGGGGAACTTTCAAGGTCGGCTCTGGCCAACAGAAGGCACCACCTGTGCAAAGGCTGGAAAGGGAAGTGAGGGAAGTGGGCGCCGGGCACTGCTCACTGACCTGGGCACTGGCCTCCTCCGTCTGCCACGCGTGCACGCGCTCCGAGCTCCCCGGGGCGCTCCTCCGAGGTCTGGGGCTTGCAGGTTGTGGCGAGAGCTAGAGTGCGCGCGAGGGGGGAGGGGGGACTCAAAAGTGGGTGGGAGGAAAAACATCACCGCCCTCAGACCACGAGGGAGCAGCGGCTCGCTCAGTTCCCGGGGGCAGAGCCAAGGCGCGGGCGCGGCGGCCCGGGGCCACCTGCCCGCCCGCCCGCCCGCTCCCCACTTGGCCTGAGAGGCCGGCCGCTCGGCGCTGGCGGGAAGTCCGCGAGCACGCAGCCGCTGCAAACGCGCACCCCTTCTCCGCCCCGGCACAACCGCTTTATTCCTGCTCCCCTGACCCGAAAGTTTTAAAATCAGGAGAAAGTGTGAGGCTCAGCCGGCGACTTTCCCATCACGCAGCGCCCCCACTGCACCCCCCTCCTTTGGCTAGACTAGCGTTGGGGTCTTAAAGGGACCGCACATCTCCTTCGGCCCCTCCTCCCCCTCCACACTGGATACACCTAGGACCCGCGCCGGCGCTGAAGACCCCGGTTACTCTCCTATTTCCCTGCCTGGAAGCTCACACCCCTTGCCCTCCAGCACTATGGCCTTTCTGGGGGGTGCACCTGGTCTGGTCCTGAGCTGGTACCCGGAACGCAGGATGGGCTGGCCTCACAAATTACTCCCTAGCACGCTGCTTATCATTTCGGGAGTTTCCCAGATCCACATTGTGGCTAGTAAAGTGACAAAGCTTTGGTGTCCTTAAAGGCGGGGTGGAGATGGGTGTGTGAGGAAGTTGGTAGGGGCGGGAGGTGCTTAGAAATTTGCTTTCTCCCACGAAGAGGGCTCCAAAGCCCCATGGAAAGGGCCTCTACTCACTGTTAAGTGTCTTGAAGAAAACTTGGAGCGATCCACCAAAGCCACCACTGTTTTTATCAAGTACCTAAGATGAGCCAAAAGCTCAACCTTGAAATCACAACAGATAGCACTGCTTATGCCATGGTGAGCCTGAGACAGAATACTCTAAATTTGTGTTTATTCCATGAATGATAGAAACGATTTTAAGAATCTTCTAAGGTCCAGGAAACTGCTGCCTTGACAGACAGTATTGTAAGCCCCTAAATTTGGAGGAGAGCCGCAGGGCATTTTTCTACATGAACTGGATAACATCCATATTCCTAACATCTGCATAGCACTTTATGGCTTACAGAGTGCTTTCATATACATCAATATTACTTTTTGAAACCCTCACAACATCCTGAACTATCTGTGGGCTCTAGTGTCAGAGTTGGTGGGGACCTTCTGAAACACTCAGCTTAACCTCTTTATTTCACAAAAGAGGAAACTGAGGTGGGGGTCGGGGAGTTGATGTATCCAAGGTCACACAGCTAGTAAATGACAACTT